AATATGCAGAATTTTAAATTGGCATTTCTTTCTCTTGTTTTTTTTATTGCTTATGAGAATTTCATAGATGTATTTTCTCTACTACTGCTGACACATCACATAATGTGATAAAAGGTAACAGGTAGCTCACTTGTACGCTGATGAAACCAGCTCATCTTTTGCTTGATCAAAGTATTTCCTATTTGTACTATAATAAAAAAATTTGAGACACTGGGGGGATTTTTCCCTCTCATGTCAGCCCGAAGTTATTTTTTCAGGGTACTGAAAAGCAGCTGCTCCTCTAATTAGTACACTGAGTGCTTATTTTATTCCTCAGATAAAAGTGTCTTATGTTGTAACGAAACAGTTTGACACGTAAGTCACACATTCATCTATTTTATTGCAAAAGTCTGCTTAAAGAGTAGGCATCCTAGATAAGGCAACACATTTAATGTGCCATTTCTCTGCATTTTTATTAGCATTACTGCCAATTGGAAAAATTTACAAATAATTTCTTTTCCAGCACATAAATATATAAAATATTTTACTTTCCACATGCTGGCAGAACATTTCAGGTCATTCTCCAGATTGCAGACAGAAATGTATGTACCTCTCAGTCTGCAATGTTTACGTTCATGCAATACCTAATTATGTCTAAGAATAAAGCAAGTCAAGGGTATAAACTAAGGTAAGATTTGACCTCTATTTCCAGACCAAAAGCAAACAATATGTCCCTATAAGGCACAGCACACTGGATAGATGCCCAGCTATACTGAACAACCTTCTGCTGGCATACAGTCACACACCATTTGTATCAAGATGTAAGCAAAGCTTTGGCCTAATGTGAATCTCATACTCTGACATGTGATGGAACCACCATTCCTCACCTCCCTTCCCCAAAAGAGTCATTTTTGCACAGAAAATCCCTTTTCCTTCTGTTCTGTTTTGGTACTTTCATGTCCCCCACCACAGCAATACCAAAGCATTTTCTGGTATTTCATGAAACGGTGCTTATGTTGATTTAGAAGATTTCTCTTGAGACCTTGAAATAGTCCAAGTAGATTCTAATTTTTCTCCCTAATTCTTTTTTTTTTTTTTTTTTTTTTGTGTGCCAACTATAATATTTCCCCCTGTGGCAGCTGCATTCCTCTTCACCTGGGTGAAGAATACCTTGCAGAACAGCAAAGAAACTTGGAAGAAAAGGCGGAGAAGGCATTTGTAGGAAAATGCAGTGGATACTCCAGCCTCTGATGTTCACCCTCCTTCATTGAGGACTGGCAAGAATTAGATATTCACTGGAAATAAGTGCATTCAGTGAAGCCATGATAAGGGGGCAAATGTAGCTGGGAGAGTGGCCCTTTGCAGGGCTGTGGCGTGTCCCCAGGATAAGGCACAGCCAAAGCTGAGGGCTTCCCATGTGCCACCACCAATTCCCACTACTGACGCCCTGTCCCAGCATGGGAACAAAACATCTCCTGCCCCAGTGGCCCAAACTCACCTCAGGTGTTGGGGTAAAAAAAGCCAAGTCATTGGGCAACCATGTGGTCAGCTTCTTGGGAATATTTGACAGCCATCTCTGGGGATGGGAAGCTGTTTTTTGATGCTTCTCAATATAGGATTTGCTGTGACTTTGCATTTGCCTGCAGACAGTAAAATATCTTTTGCTCTGTTTGTCAGTCCCGAGCTTTCCTGGCGTTCCATTTTAATGTTTCTTGGCTAAACTGCTTTCCCTCTTCCCCAGCCCTGCAGCAGCTTTGCTGTGCCATGCTTGGAAGCCCAGCAGATAAGTAACCCAATCCTCTCCACGTACCATGGGCTTCACGGCACGGGACCTCGTGATCCCAACAGGCTCTGAGCCCTGGAGGACATTTGGAAACTCTTGAGCATCCTCAGAATCCCCCCATGACAGTCTCTGTGGGCAAGCCCACTCTTTGCATTCCTTTCCACCTTGTCAATGCCAGGGCTGCTGGCACGTCACCTGTGAAGGAAGGTTGATGGTAGCACTCAAGAGCCATGGAGGCATTAAAAGCAATACGACACCTGTGAGGAGTTCCTGGGCAAAATCCAAGCTGTGCAATTGCCATTTTCACTTAAGTTCAAGCAGCATTTTCTAACTAACTACATTTTGCTCTCAAATGCAACGAATTATGAAATGCACCTTCATTTCTGCTCTGATTTGGAGGCTCACTGTGTGTTACTGAGCAGCTGCATGCTACAGCTCCAGAGGCAACTGTCCTTGGGTGTCTCTGGAGTTGATCTCCACATTATTCACTGAGCTCAGGGGGATCCTTTGTGGCAGAAGGTGACGTACAGGTGTGAAATGCTCTTGTCATATCAGTTTATGCTCAGCCACAAAACCACTCCAGCATACATTGCATATGCTTCTCTGAAAACATGTTTTGTTCAGCCTAGCAATCCTGTTCCCACAGTGTGAATGTCTCCTCAGCCTGACGTAGACAGGGCTGAGCCTCCCTCCGTATCTCTACAGAAAACAGCGTTTGTGATGAAATACAAATTCAGACCAGCTCCAGTTGCTCATTATTTGAAGCCTATCAGTTAAATAAGCCATGGCAGATACAGCCACTCTGCCATCCTGCAATGTGAATGCACTCCCAAGGTAACTTCTGATGAAAACCGTATGTTTGCACTAGGTCTGTTCAGGCTGCTTCAGATTAAATATAAACCACTGCCAATTGTATTACCTCATTATTAGCAGACACTGGCAGCAGCCTTGTGTGGGGAAACGGATGTCTGGCTACGCTACCTGCCGTCACTTCGTAATTCATGTCAGGTGCCGGGAGATGCGCAGGAGGATTACCGCCTCCCCCCCGGCTTCCCTGACCTCCTTGGACGTGACCTTTCATCCAGCCGAGCTTCCCACCCACCTGATGCTGAGCCAAAGCCTTGGAAAAAATCAGCAGCCCTCCACAGGGTTATATGGGAAGGAGGGTAAGGCTGTTCCTGGGAGTGCAGGGCAAGACTGACATCCCTGGGAGCTCACTTTGTTCAAGCCCTGCTACCAAATGATTCTTATGCACAGTGGGAAAGGAAGGAGGAAGCTACTGCTGGTTCTCACTACATATTTCAAGTTAAATCCTAGAAAAAAATGAAGACAATCTATCAGAGTAAAAAGAGCCATAAGCCATATAATATTAATTCAGGCCATACAGCATTAATTCAACTTGCAGGCAAGGTAAATCTTTCACATAACATTCCACTATTTGTTCAGTACCTAAGAAATTTCCCATTATCCTGTCTTTTTATCATGTATGGCCCATTTGACCTTCACATAGCACAGAGTTGTATCCAACCCCCAAACCCTCTGCTCAAAATACTGCAACAACAGAGAGCTGAGACAGAAGAACAATAAAAACATTCAGCACAACTGGACTGTATATATGGAACTGTTGAGCTGGAAGAGATGGAGGATCACCTCCCATCTCTGCAGAAAACACACTGAGCTTTCTGAAAAGTCTCAAACAAGAATTTAACACCTTCCATCTGCAGCCCATTACTCTACATTTTAACCCCACCTCTCCGATTACAGGTCCCTGCACACTAGGAGTGTATATGAAAGAGTGCCAAAGTCTCACGTCTGCGAGACCCAGAGTCAGGGAGTAACTGGAGATGAATCAAAACTGGAAGCCAAGTCCACAGCACTCTTTCCAAAAAAGTGCAGAGTTTCAATAAAAGACCCCATGAATTGGCACCATACTGAGTCTGGCCTTCACAAAACCTAAAGAGAAATCACTTGGTCTGATAGGAAAGGCCAGCAGAACATAACAAGGTGCAAACAATATTTTTTTCTTTTTAAAAATGCATTTAAAAGTGATGGATTTTTTTTTTTCTTTTCTTCTAGGGATGAGATCATTTCAACAACTGGTCTTCTCTATCTGACAGGTTTTACATTACGTTTTCTCCCTGTCTAGGGGAGATGCTGAACACCCTTGAGCAGCCTGACAGCCTCTTTCCCACTTCCCCTGGCCTGATGAATATAATTGTACTGTGTGTCTCATGGAGACATTCAACTCTGATATCCCCAGAGAAGTAGGAGAGCTTCACTCCTGCTGCCACCATCTCCTCTGGTCTCTGCTCTCAGCAGTCTCCCCAAGGATGCTGGCGTCGCATGGGCTTGCCAAACATCCCCTTTCAGACCAGGGCTGCATCCAGCACTCCGGTTTGGCATGATTTCATCTAATTTTGCACAGTGTTTCCTCCCTGCTGCGTCTGTCTGCAGAAGGGTGGGAAAAGGTCAGACCCGCACCCCAGCTTCCCTGCACATTTCAGACATCAGGAAAATCTCGCTTCCTGCTCTGTCCAAGGACATTTTAAAGGCAGCCTGTTCACTGTGATCAGCTCTGATTGTAGCTTTGCAGCAGTTAAAAAGTCTTCCCTGGCTCCAGCATCCTGATGCTGCATTTCTCTCTTCCATTTAATGGTGGGTTCTGTTTCTTTTATTACCCCTTAGTAATCGTTTGACGAGCTCTCACAGCAGGACTTCGCTCAAAATTATTCCACTCTTCTAAACTCCTTCAAAAACCGTCAACACTTCATTACAACACAGCACAACTCCCATCCACAGCATCTTTTACTTGCAAGGAGTGGTGAGGCCACAGGACTGGGCAGCTCTGCTTGGTTGGGCACTCAGGTCATCTCCCAGCAAGAGTCACTGAGCCAGATGCTGCCCAGGAATGCGAAGAGAAAGGTTACAACAGCCTTGCAGAAGACCATTTGCAACTTCGCAGAGAAAGGTTTCAAAAGCTGGTCTGTCTTCACCCAGCTGTATCAGCTGGTCAGATAAAAGATGTTCCACCTCCCTTGTGTGGGTAGCCTGAGGGGCAGATTTATCTACAGGAGGTTGATGGCTCACAGTCATCTGCCTTTTCCTTGCAAAGTTTCACAGCTTCCTCTCCAGACTCTCCTTGTGACTGTAAATTATTTGAGCCAAAAACATGGGCTGCAATGCACTGGGAAAGCCCCCCTCCACCAGTAACAGAGAATAACCAACAGCAAGGACTTACCATCCATATCAAGGCGTTGCATGATAATCGCCAGCTCCACCTCACTGGGCATGTATCCCAAGGAACGCATTGCCATGCCCAGCTCCTGCTTGGATATAAAGCCATTCCCATCCCTGTCCAGCACCCGGAAAGCTTCACGGATTTCTGTAAAGGAGAAGGAAGAAGAGAGGGGTTGTTACAGTGGAGGACTCCCTGTCAATACATCAGCACGTATAGGACACCGAAACAGCATATATTGCTTATTCTAATGTTAATGATGCTTATTTGATCATTTCAAGTCAGTATAATCATGATATGTTCATACACACACATATACTTCTGTGAATGCAGTCACGCATGCATGCCTCTGTATGCAGATAAATACAAAAGCATCCATACTCACACTGTCTATTTTCTCTGCTAAATATCATTGCAAAATTATTTATTCATTACACATTGAACTCCATTTCTTTCTGCAGCATCTACCCTGGACTGCTGCGGGTGAATCATCCCGACCCACAGTAAAGTCTCCCTGTATACAGCTGTCCAGCAAATCCCAGCCCCAGGGGCTTCTCCAGTAGCCTTTCTCAAAGGCCCTCTGCAAGTCTGCAAGGCATATTTATTTTATGTTACACGGGCAGACCAAGCTCTTAACTTTCTCCAACAAAACTATGAGAACAGGAACAGCTGGGTGCTGACTGCCTCTTCTGCAGGGTATGGAGCTCTGAAGCCAAAGCCTGGACATGCACGTTCTCCCTTGTCTGATAAATTCAGGTGTACATCTTTTAAACTATACCCAGGAAATTTCCATCTCACTCCTCTTCACAGCTTTTCTCTAATTTATAACTGTTTTACATCAATAAACAGCCTCAGATCAATAAAAATGCTGATGGCATCAAAGGTATCACTTCCATCATTCTTCCTTAGCCTGGCTCAGTTTCTGACATCTGACTTTGTTTTGCTTATTAATTCTGGTTTATCCCACTCCAGCCTTTAAGAGCCACTCTCCACTCATGCAGCACACTGAAGGACTCCTGTGCATCCATCACCTCGATGGCTCTGCATGCTTCCCGCTCCTCACAGACCTCTCAACTTTAAGTCCCACCATCAAGCTCCCCAGATCTGACTGTTACAAATGCCAAACAAATTTTAAGATTTCAGCCAGCTGGGAGCCTGTTTACCTGAAAGGTTTTGGTTGGAGGTGGGGAGAGAATGAGGTGTTGGTTTCTTAGTTTTGGTTAAGCAGTCTTTGCCCCATGCTGTGGAGACAAAACCACAGGATGCTTTATCATATCTCTTTTGGGAATGAGGATATATGAAAAAACAGCATGCTGGGGCCCGCTGCAAATTTACTTGGAGGAGTTTAATCTTCATGTGAAAGCATTTCACTGGAGAAGTGGGAAGGAAAACTCAGCAGGTCTTTTTGGGAAAAAAAAAAAAAAAAAAACAAAACACCACCACAACAAAAATGTTATTAAAAAATGCTCTATTCTCTATCAGGAAACAGAGTGGTTGGAAAAAGTTTGGCCAGTCCTGGGTAGTTCAGGCATTAAGGCTCAGATAAGAAAATATTCTTGATCCTGCCAAGGGCTGCCAACATTTCACCTCCCTCTGCTCCCAGGTGTAAGGGAGGCACAAGCCCTCACAGCAGGGCTATGTGAAAGGTAACGGATGGTCCTTGGTCCTCCTGGGAAAAAGCTGGGAGCATTGTAACCTACCAAGAAATTGTTTCAGTGACATCTTTTCTAACAGGTTATTTAAAGCTTTACAATTCAAAAGCTGCTTTTAAATCACCTCACACCAAAGTTCACCACCTCCCTTGACAACACCAGTGCGTTAGCAAAATCTGCTCCAATTTCCATGTCCTGCTTTCTGCTGTGTGTATTACCCTGGTGATGTGCCAGGGCCCGGGCACCTCTGTGACCTATTGCTTAATCTGCACCACAGCTGTGGTTATCATAATGAGATATGATCAATTTTTAATCCAGCCAAAGAGCCCACTGATACAAAAAGGGAAGGTTCTATTAATTCCAATAAATATTGGGCCAGATCTGTAATATCTACACTTTGGGTTCAGGTATGCATGAACTGTGGCTTCTTTAAACGTAAATGCTTCACCTCGTCTCCCTGCCAGCCCACGCTGGTGTAAGCTCGGTGATATGAAAAGATGGTGAGGCTGTTCAAAGCAAGCTCGGCTGGAAGTATCAGTACATAATGCAAAGAGCCTTTGGAGTAGGAATGAATCCCATTAGACACTGCCAGCTGTAGTGAAATCTATTTTCATACGCTGTGCTGAAAGCTAAAGTGCAGTAAATATTACATCGAAATCAATTAATTTTAAAATAAACTTTTGACAGCTCAAGAGGAACGAACTAAAAATATAGCAGGGAGCCAAGAAAGTATTTTAGAAAATAAAATATGAGTCTACCTTCAAAAAAGTTTACATGTGAGTTAGACTGATCCAAATTACATGAATAAATTATGTCTGTACAGGGGCTCCGCTGTAGAATATGTGAATGCCAACATCTACTGAGTATCCTCTCCAGATACCCTGACTTACGAAGGCACATTTAACAGCACCGCAACCTTTGAGCCTTGATCAGAGAAAACCCCACATTTGGGGTCCAGCTCTGTTTCATACCTCTCAGGAACCTGAACTTTTGACCAAGCCTGAAACATCCTTCACACATGAGCTCCTGACACCAAGTGGAGCTTTTTTCACTCATCACTCTATAAATACCACTTGTGCAGAGGTATATTTGAAGAGCTATTTATAGGTTGAACACACTGTACACGAAGCAGCTATGACCTCAGCCAGTGCCTCCTCTTTATCTTTACATGTAACACCACCTCCTTATCAGCTTTTCTTTATAGTGATTCCTTCTCCTCTGACATACTCGTGGGTGCTGTCCTGCACAGCACTCAGAGTGTGAGCCACAGGCCTGAGCATCCTTCCCAAACGCAGCCCCACCAGCGCTGCCAAACAGCGGTCCACGAACGTGTGGCACCCTGGCTGGCACTCACCTTTATTTCCAGCTGTTAAATTTCATTACCCAAAGCTAAAAATACATCAGCACTTTCCCCATATGACTTTCCCCAAGAAGTCACCATGGCAACTGATGCTCCCGGCTCAGAACTGGGAGCGGATGTGGTCCATGGAGTAAATTTCTCAACAAAGACATTGCCGGGGCTTGGGAGAAACTTTGAGACCTCTTCCATTTTAGCTGGAAGCTGCTTTGCATAGGGATGCTTTACCCTGGTCAACGAGGCGAGTCTTTAACAGGAAGAGTAAAGGTAACAGTAGGGAGTGTGTGTCAAAGTGATGCTGCCCAGCAGTTGCCTTTCCCCTTGCCCAGCTAGGGTGGCAAGACCCAACCAAGCACATATACTTGGATTACACATCCCCTGGGATGTTAGCAAATGCTAATATTTATTCCCCTTTCCACTATATAGTATCCTCTTTTACTCTCAAATGTAGGTAGTTGACACAGAACTAAATTAGAGGATAAAAGGGAAAAAATAAGAGAAGAAATAGAAAGATTTAGAGAACAGAAAGTATCCCATTTTGCTGGTGATGGCACTGGTCTGAGCCTCAGGAAATGTCACTTCTCAAGGAGCCCAGGCTAGGACCTGAGTGCTCTTCTCCATGTCTCAGTTTCTCCTGCCCCTGGGAACAGCAGTACCACTCTTCTATATAAGCTGATTTCAACATAAAATTGCTCACTTGGCTGCCAGTGACTATTAGTAGCACTAAACTATCTCACTCCCAGAATTAATTCAAACAATCCTGCTGCAGAGAAAGAAACTTTGTCCAATGGGTCATACATGATGCTTAATGCTGAACATCGTTAAAGTGAACAAGGGGACAGAAGGGATCAGCATCTGGCCCCAGCCTAACAAACATCTTTGTTAATGATCTCAAAGAGGGAGTAGCCACAACATTAATTAAATTCCCAAATGATACAAGGCTGGAAAGAATTGCTGGGACAAAAAGTCCAACAAGGGGGAAGGAATGCTGTGTGAATCGGCCAAGATTTAGGAGCAGAAGGGACCTTGCCCGAGTCCTCTGGGCCCAGGCAGGTGTGGTGAGCTGGGTTTGCAGGCACATTGCTCAGGAAAGTTTAGCCTGATGTTTTTCCCCAGGTGAGGATTTATGTTCCATGGGATCCGAGAGCACAGCACTCACTTCTCAGGGTTATTTGAGCATTCAAAAGCTGCATATGGGGTGTGTGTGTGTGTGCGCTTTTAATTCATTCCCTCTCTTTCCTCACATTTAACAGCTGAACCTTCCAGCTTCCCTATTACAGAGCTGTGACCATCCAATTACCCCCACATTCCTCTGGGAAGAAAGAAAGGAAGAATCAGGGAAAAGAATGATTTTTTTTTTCATTACTTTTCTGAAGGGCACAAACAAGACTGCTGTCCTATTCAGACCTGACACCCAGCCTAGCAAGTCATTAACTCTCTCCACCTGCTTCCAGAAAAGGTGTCCTCACCCACCCGCTCACATCCCGCCCTTCCCTCCCCGCACTCCCACCTGCCCTGGGCAAGCAGGAGCCTGACCTTGCGCTCCCAGCCCCGGCTCATCCCTTTTCCACGTTCAGTAGCAGGTTTATTTACAGATGATTTCCCTCTGACTGGTAACTAGAGGCAACCATCATTATTTTTGTTTTGCTTCCTGAATGAGAATGAATCATGGTTCTTTGGGAAATAAATTCAGCCTGAGCCACTGGTGTCCACTAGCTACCCTCGGGCGCTGCAGATGGTTTCAAGGCTATTTCACTGGGTACAAATATCACCATAATAAATTTTGTAATTACACCGTAACTACCACACCCTAAATGCACAGTAATTACAATCAGAGTCCTATAGTTATTTTCATTAGTATGATAAGAGAAGAAATACCACCACCCGAAATCTTGCAAGTCATCTCATTCACTTAATTGCAGGTTTGGGCACCAAAGTACAAACTGAATGATCTAAAAGCTGCAAATAGCACGTCCTTGAGTGAACTGTTAAGTGAGTCTTGTAACTACTATGTCTGTTTTAAAAAAATGGAAATTTCCATCCCTCCATCTGCTATTCTTACAGTTGTTTTTTTTTGTTTGTTTTTTTTTTTTCCTGCAAATTGCAACAAAGTGTCAAAATACCTACGTTTTTCATCT